TTTAAATTAACATGTATAAAATACGAACCGTGATTAATAAAGTCTAAGTCTTTCTATATTAATTACATGGAAAAAAACTCATAAGAAAGTGCTCATCTGTTTAACAATTCAAATTGAAGACCTGATCTCTCCCCAATTATCTTCTCTGCAGGAGCGTCTCATCTCTGAAAAACCCTAACCCTACCCATTCCTTTGCTTTTGCCAGTCCCAAAAATGAATCCATATGGTTATAATTATGGCTATGGATATTATCCTTATCCTGATCAAGGATATCCTAAGTACCACCAAGATGTTCCTCCTTATGGTTACACTTATAACTATCACGGATACATGCACAATCCTTATCCTTATCAAGGATATCCTTATTATGTTGCTGCTGCAGCCCCTCCTGCTCCTGCATATTATCATCAGCAACAAAACTATGGCTCGAACTCGGGCGGGATTCTGTCGTCGATGCTATCTTCTGTGGTTGGGAATATGGGGGCTGGCTTCATCTCTTCTCTTCTGTTTAGCTAAACAAAAACCACAGGTTTCTGAATTTCAATTCTCTTTCTAATTCCCATATGATCTTAAGAATAAGGGTTATTGTTTATGGTTTTTATGAGTGTGGAAATCTTTTTGTTGTTTTTCTTTGGGGTTTTTGAAGTCTGGAATGTGTTTGGATCAAATAAATAATGTCTGTGTTGGGGTTTGAGGTTTTGTCGTTTGGTATTGAATATAAGATTGCTTTGGTGTTGTGTTTTTGTGTTATCCCATGTTCGGTTGTGGAATGGATCTAACTAGTTGCTCTGTAAGTATGTAGGGAAAAAAAAAAGTCGAACTTAGAGTCGGTTTGATAACATTATCGTTTCTTGTTCTCGTTTTCTAATTTTCTTAAGATTTCTAAGAATTTTGCAACTAACTATGTTTCTTGTTTATATCTTTTTTTTGGAACATTTTTCAAATTGTATAGAAATTTTGGAAACAACAGACAAGTTTCTTTTTTCTTATTCCAATTTGTTCCAAAACATAAATAAAAATATTGTTTTTTAAAATTTGAATTCATGGAGATTGGAATCATGCAATTTATATTTCTTTATTAAAAATAAAGAAACAGAACATCACCAAACGAGTCATTAACTAACTTTATCGTAGTAAAATGGTTGAAGTATCATTCTTTGAGTTGAGCTGATTTATTGTACTAATTGATAGCAAGTAGCATGCATTGAGTTTGTATTAACAATATTGGCTAAAAAATGTTTTTAAAATGTATATGTTTTTGAAACACACAAATCATTCCGTTATGTGCATGTTGTTATTTTTTTAACAATTATGAGCATGTTGTTACTTTTTAAATCTTTATGAAAGCAGCAATTTTGAAATCTTAGCCAAATTAAGATTTCAAAATTCAAGTTTTTTTTTCTTTTTGAATTCTTCTTTATAGAGATTTTAAATCTAGCTTGGATTTCAAGGATGTTTAAAAACAAAATAAATAATGAAGCATATGGAAATTGTGAGCATAAACAATTTTAAGCCTTTAACTTTTGTTTATTTCTCATTTGGTTTTTTCCTGAAGTATTGAAAGTTTGATTCCAAAACCACACAAGATTTTAAGTATCAAATGGGCCGATACAAAAAGGAATATGGTAGTGCAAATTTAAGGGTGTCATTGTGAAGCAAAAAGTATTACTCCAAAATGATCGTATGGATATTGATCAATATTAATTTCCCCATGCCAAAAGCTGGTCTTACACACAGATAATTTCTTGCCTTAATTTCCAGTTTGAAAATAAATTAAAGAGAAATATTAGCTCGTGAATTTGAGAGAATTTTGAGAACATTTACACTCTTCCGAGGATTATATTAACGGTTTATTTAAAACACTAATTGGTGTTGTTCGAGTAAAGAGACGGATGAACAAATCAATACTTGATCGAAAAATGAGAGATCATAAGACTGTGCAAGTGAGATTAATAAAAAAAAAAATTAAAGAATCGATATATATAGTTGAGTCCAATTAGATATCAACTAATCTCACAAGTCAACCACATGACCCTATTATATTTGACTGTCAAGGCCAGACATAAGATTTGAATCCATTTAATCTGAGGAGAAATGATCATCATCATAAGATGTAATCCATTATCTCTAAATTCTTTTGAATTTCTTTAACCCTTTAACCTTAACATATAGTAATATTTTAAAAAGTATATTTTTGTGTGTGATAGATTTGCAAATTTGATAATCAATTTTACCACCTATAATAATTTTCATTTTAAGTATGTTAAAATTTCTGTTTTAGGTTCAACATGAGTGGTATTTTGTTAACATTTCAAAAATGTTTTGTTGATATTTTAATGGTGTATTGAAAATATTGATTACGCCGCTATATAAATGGGGTCCCTGTCCCATAGCTGCACAAGCTTAATGTTATCATAGCTATCAAGTTAATTAAATTAATCTCGATTATAATTTGGACTTATTAGTCACGAGCTTAATTTATTGGTACTTGGTCCGTCTCTCACTCCCACTTGTTGTACTAAAAAAAATAATACATATATGTATTATTACTATTCATAGTGTCTTTTTGAGCTCAATTATTTTTTTTATCCGTCAAAGTGAACATAGTTTAGTAGAAATGGACATCTACCTCCAATCAAGAGGTTGTGAGTTCGAAACCTCTCTCCCCCCACATGTTGTACTGAAAAAGAAGATCGATAACATCAAACGACTTTTAAAAAGAACGAACAATATTATAAAGAGAAAATTACCGAAATTAAAACTACATAATTTAAGAAAAATATAAACCAAAGAAAACAAAGTCAAAAGTCTTTATTTTGGCCAAGTCCAAGAGGGTGTTAAGAAGTCACAGAAACGCGTTGTTATTGTTCATTGTTCTCCGGTTCTATGTACAGTATTATGAATCAGCCGTTTCCTCTGTTCTGAAAACTGAAAACTGAAACCCCAACGGAAAGAGATCTACGGATCCGGTGCCGCAAAACAACACAGCCGCCGTCGCAGGTGCCACACCGCCGCCGGCCGCCTGCTGCTCCTGGAGAGACCGGGTCGGGTTTGGCAGGAGTGTCAGAGGAGCAATCCGTCGGGCCAGGGATGACGGATCGGTCCCTTGGCACCGGGCTCGCTGATTCAATCCACTGCTTGTCATACTTGGAAACGCTCGTTCCAAAATTTTATATCAGAGGGGCCGTGATCAATTTAAGGGTGGATATTTCCTACTGATCACTATTATATTTTTGTCAGAGCTACCGACATTAGGAACTAAATTGATTTAACAATGTGATTATTGGTAGATTAGAGCAGGTATCTCCTATCGACCATTATTATATTTTTGCCAAATCCTTACAAGATTGAACTTTTTTTCAATTATTCGTTAGGGATATATGGAGAGAGAAGATAGAGGAAGTTTGAAGGATTATGTACGTTGGTCATGCATCAAGGGAGTTAAGGATAAGGTGGTTTAATCTAACTAGGTATGAATTATCTATTTGTAATTAATTTCTTAAATGAACACATAATTGTGAATTACTGGTTATGTGGCTCTCCACAGTAAGTAACCAAATATTTATGTTGGTAAGATGTTTGTGGTAGGTGCTAATCTTGGATTGCATTTAGGTTGGAATAAGGATGGTTCGGGTTAAGTTATTTGATTGTCAAAGCGGCATCTTTAGACCACTTAGGTACTTTTTTAGCTGGTTTTAATTTCATTTGTGGTGGAAAAGATTGGTTTCAGTATTTTATATATATACATATACACGTTTTTTAGGCCCTTAGGCATTTGTTAGGCTAGCTTGTTCGGAGTACACAAGGAGTAAGCGATGTGTTTTAGGTTAAAGTTCGACAAGTCCTAAGTCGCTTTATCGTGAAAAGACGTACTTGACATCTTTAGGCTGCCTATGGATACTTTTTTTTATCTAGTTTGAATTGCATTTAGGATGGGTAATTAGGGATCATTTCGATTACTTATATTTTAGGCTTTTAGAATAATTCTTGAGCATTAAGATCACTTGGACATTTTTTTTTCTTTGTTAAACAGTCATAATATTTGTTTTCTTTTTTCAAGTATTTTTATGTGCTATATTCATGAATGCTTTCAAGCCATTGAAACGATAAAGAGATTTGATAGTGTAAAACATATGGAGCCTTGTAGATCAATTCGGTGTACTATGTTTATTATGCATGTTGTAAAGGAATTTTTTTAATAATGTTATATTTTAAACTTATACCAAATATATATAAAATTAGAGAGACAATTTATATGCCAAAATAAAACACAATTAATGGTCTTGTGTTCTAAAGGTTAATTGTTAACTATTAAAATTTACTTGAATCCAAGATCTCTAAATAAAAAAGTAAGTATATAGCCAACTGCATTAAAATGGTAGTTGTGTTTAATTTTGGCATATATCATCTGGCACAATTTCAACCAAAAAAAAAGTCATGCAACTGGGAAAGCATGAAGTGACCTCTAATTTTCTAAACATTATTTTTAGAAATAGTTTGTTACATGATATATATTTGGAATAAGTTTAAAATAAAATATTATTAGAAAAAATTCAAGACGGTAAAAGTATAAAAAACAATAATAAATAAATTAATTAAAGGTTGAAGTATCTTCTATGAGAAGCTTAAGGAAATAAAATCAAATAGAAAAGGAAGGAAATTCGAGTATGATGGGATGGCATGCAAGTTATGAAAAGGGATGAAAAAAAACACATTAAAGTCATAAGCATGTTTTTTTTTTTTTTTCTAAATCTTAGCCTAAAAGACGTCCTAAACTTGCGTTGCGATCACGTTGCAACAGCTTTTGAAAATGAATAAAAAAATTATACTATAAAGAAATGGTGAGGGTTGAAATATGGTTTTAACCTCACTTAAACTCCTATCTAATTCTCCAAACCATGGAAAGCTTGAATTTAGATTTTCAATTGCAAGGATGACAATATTGTAAATGTAACATAAACTAGATCGTATAGATAACGAACAGAGAAAATTACCCGACATTTCCAATAAAATTAGACATTTGTAACACGTTTCTACAAATGGGTACTAAAATTTATAAACTTCAATACTGCTGGAAACACTAAAATTGATATTTCAAAAGACAAATAGGTACAAATTCAAAGGCAAAAAGTGAAACTGAGACCAAAAAGATACATGTAGTACAAATTCAAGGTGTCATTGTGAAGCTAAGTTATTACACTTCAAAATGATCTCACCATGGATATTTTGATATTTGGTATCATATTTCCCCATCCCAAAGCTCTTCCACACTTCTATAAGGGCTTAGAGTTTCATGGACTGCAAACTCCCCACGAAGAAGCCGTTGCTGCATCATACAAACAATCAAAGAAATGAGAGAGCAATTTGGGGGTTTGAAAATAAAGTTATTAAAGRGAAATATATTTGCAGGATCCATATGTATGAATTAATTTTTTCCAATTTTGGTTTGGATGGTATGGTTTATTCATCTTTAATATAGTATGGGAGCGAGAAGTCTTGTGTTTAAATCCGTGCATTGTTATTTCCTCTCTATTCATTATAATTTTCACCTATTGGATTTTGTTGCAGTTTTTTTGCTTAATCTTCTGGATTAAGTGATGGTTTATTCATCCTTAACATGATATTAAAGCGAGAGATCCTATGTTCCCGACAAGTAAGGACAAGTAAGGGGGGAAGTGTTGAAAATTTATATATATGAATTAAATTTTCAAAATAATATTTAATTACCTGATGAATTTGGGAGAATTTAGAGAAGAGCTCTGGAGGAATGGACCAGTCAAATAAGCTAAGGTTTTCAATGATCCTTGATTCAGTGACACTCTTTGGAAGGACACTGTGGCCACTTTGAATGCCCCATCGCAGGGCTACTTGTGCTGGTGATTTGTTCAGCTTCTCCCCAATTTCTATCAAAATTGGCTCCTTCAAGATTTCACCTTTCAACCAGCTCCCTGGAGATCCCAATGGAGAATATGCAGACAGATGAACGGCCGTGGATTTGCACAAGTTGTGAAGCGCAGGCTGCTGCCAAACTGGGTGGCATTCAACTTGGTTAACTGCAGGAGGAACTTTTGCAGATTTCAGCAGATCTTGGAGCTTCTTCGTTGAGAAATTGCTCACTCCAATGGCTCTAGCCTGCCCTGATGCATACAACCCTTCCATCGCGTTCCATGTTTCCGCTATACACAACGGCGCCATCACCTCGGGATTGAACCCTCGCGACCCGGGCTTGGTCCTGAATGGCCAATGAATCTGTAGTCAACATGTCACATCAGCGTTACATTCGAAACCAATCAGCAGTTGGTGCGAGTTTAAGAATAAATGGTAAGAAAGGACCTACAAGATAGAGGTCAATGTAATCAAGCTGAAGGTGTTCTAAACTTTTGCTCAACGCTTTTGACACATCTTCAGGCGCTTGATCGCTGCACCTGTTGAGGTCGAGGCCAAATAACAACAAGAGTGCGAAAGAATATGAGATTTCGAATCTCCGATCTTTAGAAAAGTTACTCATTAATAAGCACAAAAAAGTTTTTATCTAACCATTATTTTTTAATATGAAATATTCATAGAGAAAGAAGAATAGGAGAAATGTTGGTGTGGTAATAATACCAAAGTTTAGAAGTGATGAACATCTCATTTCGCTGGACTACCCCTGTTGAAAACAGCTCCTTTAATGCTACTCCTACCTGCAAGAGAGTTTGAAAGAGGGTACAAATATTTTTTTAGAAAATGCAATTTTAGGCCCACAGATTTGTAATTAAGCTTATTAATTTGCAATTCATTCTTTTACTTTCCACCCCCTCTTGAAAAATACTTTTTGAATTCTATGTTTTGTTAGCACAATTCAGAGTGGAAGTTCCAATTCACGGCCCAAAAATATATGCTTTAACTAATTGAACATATTCGAGTGCAACATTACGAAAAGGTAATTTGAATATGGAGTATGGAGTTAATTAGGGAGGGAAAAAAGACCTCTTTTTCGTTATCATAAACATGAGCACAATCAATATGCCTATAACCAGCCTGCACACAAAGAAACAGAGACACACAGCGTGTTAGAACTTAGAACTTAGAACAACTATTTTCTGATGAATCAATCAAATTTCTGATGGAAAAAAAGAAAAAAAGAAACCTTGACGGCGGCCTTGACGGCTTCCCCGACGACGCCGGGAGGGGCTTTCCAAGTTCCAAGGCCGACGGCCGGAATTCTGGCCCCAGTGTTCAGATCAAAATGCAAGGCTTTCTCCATTTTTTGCTGCACCAGAACCAAAACCAAAACCAAAATGAACCAACCACTGTCAATCACATTTCCAACCTTATTTATTTATTCTCAGAGTTTGGGATGAGCAGAATTCAAGCTGGTTTTACCTTTTTTGGAGTTGATTTTTCTTTGAGCCAGAAAGACTACAGAATCCAGAAAATTGAAATTACCTTTCTTTTCCTTTTCCTCTCTTTGTCTTCAATTGTGTAGCAGTTTTATGGATGCCAGTTTTTTTCCCTGAGAGAGTTGCGCCACCAAATGGGGATCTTTGGTTTTCCCATTACGCTCTCTTTTATTTACAGCGATATAAATTAACAACTGTTTTTAACCACAAACGAACTTCACCATCCAAAGCCATTCATTTCTCTTTTTCAAGGATGTCTAGTATGTATAATCTTCTTTGATGTTGATAATGTAATGATTTTTCCACGTTTAATAAAAATAAAATCCTGGATTTAAATGATGTTCGAACCCTACTACAAAAAAAAAAAACCCTAGATTTAAATAGTTGAAAACGAGGATGAAAATTCTAAGTATTAGTAAATAATGATTTAATGACCTTAAATAAGTTATAAATATACTAACATTTTGGGAAATTATAACAGGTGACACATAGTTTTTCCATATTTGTAAATATAGTACCAGAAATAAGATTATATAAATACAGTAATTTTAAAGAGTGTATATCTATCATAGTATCATACACATCTATTAGTGTCTATTAGTTTAGTCTATCGCAATAGACACGGGTAAACATCTATTAATGTCTATCGCTTGGTAGACATTCGATGTTAAGAGATATATTGATAAGTTTTTTAAAAAAATTATGTCATATTTACTAATATTTTTTTAGCTTGTGTGTTAGACTTGTTATTATTTTGTATCACATTGCTCCCTGTTCCTAACTTTTTCCAAATTTGTGGGTAAGACTAGTGTTTTCTTCTTCTTCAAAATACCACCTTTGGAACAACCCCGTCCCCTAAAACTTTAAGCACAATATAGAAATAGGACCCAATAATTACTACAGAATAAAACCATAGTCGGAATGAACCAACTTTTGAGCCACATCCAAGATGATCATTCAATTCAAACATCAATTATTTTCGTACAACTGCCATAACGAAACATGGTGAGAAGGATTTTTCTCCTTTTACCCCTCCAAATAGCAGCTAACAGCTTTAGATTTCCCCATCCCAGAATTCCTCAATGGTCTTGTAGACATAATTCTCATTCGCAAATGTGGTTCCTCTGAGTAGCCTTGCCTGTCAAAATGAAGAACAGAGTGGACCGGACCTCAGTACACTATACTATTAACTTTGTGGCTAGAAACACAACATTTGTCATTAAATTATAGTACAACTCAAAACGAATACAAGAATCTAAATATATTTACTTACCTGATCGAACTCGGAGAACTTGGCAAACAAATCTTCAGGTATGGACCAATCAAAAACATCGAAATTCTCTTTGATCCTTGACTCGTTAGTACTTTTTGGAACCACGCTATGACCCTTTTGTATTCCCCAGCGAATGGCCACTTGTGCAGGACTTTTACCAAGTTTTTCTGCAATCTCTTTGAGAATTGGATTCTGGAGAACATCACTCTTAAGCCAAGTTGTTCCAGGTGAACCCAATGGAGAATATCCCTGAATTAAGTTGAAAGTAGTCAAGTGTCAGATATTATATATAGTTTGAAACTATTAAAAGCCAGGCCATATTCCACAGTCATGTAGAGGTAAACTAATGTTGGTGTGCATTGGATGGATAAGGGACTACTACAGCAAAATCGGTCAGGATTTTGATACTCACAGTTAGATGAACTCCTTTTGATTTACAAAATTCATGTAGTTTGTCCTGCTGCCATGATGGGTGACACTCCACCTGATTGACAGCCGGAGGAACACGAGCTATCGCCAGTAAATCTGCAAGTTTCTTGGTCGAAAAATTGCTTACACCGATAGCTCGGGCTTTTCCAGAATCAAAGAGTGCTTCCATGGCTTTCCATGTGCTTGGTATGTCCGGTGCAACAAGGTTTTCAGGGCTAAAGCCAGTAGATCCCTTTTTCAGCCGAACCGGCCAATGAATCTTCAATGAAAGAAGTTATATTAGAGTAGCACCATCAATGAAGTATCCTTACATAAAAGTGACAGATGAAAACAAATAAACATGCGTTCTACACTAGCCAAGCTGAAGAGATACAATAATTTATCCAAGATTGTTTAATTATCCTTCAACATATGCAAAATTGCTTTCTCAATATGCAAGATAACATTAGAGCGATTCATTGCTAAAACATACTGCTGACTTAAAGGAAGGAGCTTTTAATGACAAATTTTTAGTGAACTCCTGCAATACATACAAGGTATAGATCAACATAATCGAGCTGCAAGTCGCTTAAGGTTCTGTCAAGTGCTGCAGGAACATCTTCTGGAGCATGATCAGTACACCTGCAGATCATCACTCCATTAAATAACTTGCAGTTCTCCTCTTTTGTTCTCTTTTTATAATTATGAATAAATAACAAATCATGATCAGTAATTAGGGTCCAAATAAGGTAAGGATTTAATAAAGAAAATCACATAGATATTACAATGTTAGATAAGCAGAAAAGTGAAAATTGTAGGAAGTTCCCTAACACTGCACATGAGAATAACATGGCACCAGAAAAACTAGAAGTTTAGAACAAACCAGAGTTTCGAAGTGATCCACAAATCCTCACGCTTAACTACACCATCTTGAAAAAGTTTATTGAGAACCGAACCAATCTGCCACAGACAACAATATGTTAGACCTCTTCAATTATCAAAAGTCCTAAAAGCTTAAGCTACAGAACCTAAATCTAGAGAGTTAAATACAAAGTGAGCAGAATCTAACGGTAGCAGTCTAGATTATATTGCATAAAATAGACTGAAAAGAAATCTTCAGATCAACACGTAATAAGTTAGTCCAAGACTATAGGTCCCTAATTTCAAGAAAGGATATACACTGTTATTATGAAAAAAAGAACTTGTAAAGGTCCACTGTAGAGAATCGTAATCGGTCACACAATACATGAGCAGCACAGATACATAACAAAATGTCAAAGAAAGCCAAGCAATTGCTTCCACCTCAATTAGGAATCGATTTAATTACCTCCTTCTCATTGGCATATATTTGAGCACAATCAATATGGCGATATCCGATCTGCAGCAATAACAAGCACTCAATTTAGATAAACTGACAAATAAAACATCATAATCCGGAACAAAACTTCAGCAGTATAAGTTAAAAAAACAAATCTCTGTTTTAGCAGTGTAAACAAAAACATCAGTTTAGACACAGCTGCTCAAGTTCATGGGGACATGACTAGTAGTTCTAATTTTATCACATTCCTTCAGTACAAGTACAAACAAACTTCTCGAAGCATCTATCACCTTCCAGATCTTAATTATAAAATCAAGAATCCTATCGCCGACAAAATAAATGCAGAAATCGGGCGATTAAAATTAGCAAGCAAACAGATAGAAGGTGAAGAATACAATAAAACCTTGATGGCGGCGGCAACGGCGTTACCGACGAGACCTTCCGATGCCTGCCAGGTTCCGAGTCCGACGGAGGGGATCTTGGCCCCGGTATTCAACGAGAAAGACGAGATTTGAGCAGCCATTTGCAAGCTCTCACGGAGAAATGGGAGTTGAGTTGGAGGAAGCAAAATTAAATTGAAATGGAAAGAAATAAATGGCTAATATGACATGGATGTTTTTCCACTTTTATAGTGCTTCGTTTGGTAATTCGTTACAAATGACGCTCCTTTTGGTACACTTTTTTTCACTTTTTTATTTCCCTCGAAGAAAACAAAAAAAATCACTCTCCTTTTTGGGTTCTTCCACCCATAAATTGTGGATGTGGATTGTGGACGTAGATGGAAAATATCAATATTTATAAATATATATTAACAAACGAGCAAATTTTTTTTTTTTTTTAATCAAACATGTAGGGGTCAACAATCGAGCATATTGATGATACCTAAAACGTCGTAAGTTCAAATACTCATCTCACATATTGTATTGAAAAAATAAAGTACTTTACTTATTAAATTTTTTAGCGTATTTTTTAAATAAGTTAAAATTTATTATTATTGATAATTGATATTATATCTATATTAGTAATATTCTTTTTTATTTATCTTTGTTTACTGTATAATAGAAATTATGATTCACTCTATATATAGATGCGAATATTTAAAATGTCATTGTTTTAATTATTAACCGATATATATGACTTTTTAGTCAGAGGTTGGTGTTAATTATCGTTGAGTTAGATTCATGTTGAGATTCACGGATCATATATTCGTCATTATTTGACTAACTCCTAAATATGTTAGTTTATTGGGTAGAATCCACTTTTTATTTATTTTTTATTGAACGGAGGATTTTTCGAATTTTACTTTAGGTTAAAATATTATTTTGGTCCTTGTACTTTCAAAATATTTATTTTGGCCCTGTATTTTCAAAATATTTGTTTGGTCCTATACTTTAATAAAATATCTATTTTGGCCCCTTAATTTTATTTCTAATTTTATTTTTTCTATCACAATTCCAACACGACACTATAGTCAATATAATCATAACTTTATATTAATTGATTTCCATTAATCTGTATAATTTGTGTAACACTCAAGCCCAGGATTCGAAATCCGGATTTGGCTCTAATTGCCCCAGCATTCTCCTGCGACTTGGCCACGTCACCGTCAACTAGGAGGTCACCCAGTCGAAGATTGCTTCAAATCAAAAAACGCTGCTCCAGTTCCCTTACGAAACTTTCGTTATTGGGTTAGCCATACACTTCACATGTTTCTAGCGATTCACATGGCATCATCAAATGATACAAGTCTTGGATAAGAATCTACAACGCACTAGAACGCCCTTGTTGACGATCCTTTACTCCGACAGCATCTAGGGTTCCTCGAACAATGTGATATCTCACACCGGGTAAATCCTTAACCCTTCCCCCTCTTACTAAAACTTTGGAGTTCTTATGATTGAGAGTTACCAAAAAAGAAGGTGCACCTTATTAGTATAGATAGTAACTATCAATTTTTTTAAGTCTTTCTTGACCATTCTTCCATGATCTCTCTTATTCGGATATGGTATCGGTTCATTCATGTACCCCTCATTTCTATTCGATCGTCACAATTTGTGTAAAATGTTTGAAAATATAGATTAAAATAGTCACTTTTAAAAAGTTTAGATATAAAATGAACATTTTAGAAGTATCAAGACTAAAATAAATCAAAGTTCGAAAGTTTAGAAGTCAAAAGTGAACATTTAAAAAAATATAGTAACTAAAACAAACTAAAATTCAAAGTACAGTTTAATTCAATTGTAGTTGACACTTACCTCTAATCAAGAGATCATGAATTCAAATCCTCCCCCGTACTTTAAAAAATACTTACATAACTTACACGGTTTCGAGGAACCATTTCCCACGGCTTCACTGCCCGGCTAGGTTTCTTTTGTCTTTTCGAAGTACTGGGCTTTTTATTAAAATTTTTATATATTTATTAAAAATTTTAAAACTTTGGAGTAAAATTTTTTTATAATATAAATTGAGATCTGAGTTAAAACTTAAAAGTAACTCAATTTTTTAGAATAGGTAAATAAATGTTGGAAGAGAATAATATTTTGCTTTTTTCAAATAAAATTTTGAATAAGTAATTTAAATAACTCAAGCCCACGTGAATATTTTATAATTGAATTGGGTTGATTAATAAACATTATTTGGTTCAAATTGTACATAATTAACAACTTGAACTAACCCAACCTAAAGACACTCCTCTTATGCTACCAAATAAAACCCAATCATGGATTTGTTCTTTTTAAAAACAACATTTGTTGTATTTTTTTCTACTAAGAGAGACATTCGTGAAGCTAAGATTTCAGAAGTCAGAGAGGCCACATGCCATACATGCATGAATCCATGTTTGAGATTTAAGAAGTAATTATGAGGCCACGTGCAAGATATATGCTTGGAAACCTTTGACAAGGGTTTTATGAAAGTTTAAATATATTAATGGATTTAAATACTATTTCGATTCATGTACCATCTATATCCTAATTCATTTTAGTTCTTGCGCTTTCAAAGTATCTATTTTTAACTTTTGTTCATTCTAATTTTTATATGTTAGCTTTATGAGCTTCGATCATACCATATATTTCGAGAATTACAAGTTTTAATATATTGATAGTTTTTGTTGTTTCAAAATGTCTATAACGTATAACTCATAAAAGTTAATCTCACACATTTTAAATAAATATATTCGGAGTTTAAACGAAAAAGATATACTCAAAACAAGTTGGAGAGGGAAATCCTACGTGGCGGATGATATGAATCAGTGGATCACTTAGAAGTTCACATATTACATCAACAATTTTGCTGACGTGGTGGATAATGTGGAAAAATCACGTGGTGACATGTGGTGCATTCAAATAAAATTAGAAATAATAACTTCTAAATTTTCCCCCCAATTTCCACAAATCTCTCAATCAACAAATTCTTTCCATTTCCACATATTTTTCTAAATCTCCACAATTTTCTCCGTGTTCTTTTCCTTATTTTACTTTTAATCTCCACTATTCATTCCTTTTTGTCCTAGATCTAGTGGCTAAATTTCATCCACGATGTTGATGCAGGATTCTGTCAAGCTACCGAAGTCGGCTATATGTGATAATTGGACTATTTGACGAGGTACAACCTTAAGCAAGATAGGACCTACAAAAAGGGAACAAAATACTCCGATACTCAAGTCAATAAGGTGAAAGCTTAAATAGATCATTCCTGGAGCAAAATTGAGTACTTAAATGAGTGGTGGAGTGTACATTTTACCCACAAGGGGAGACATGGTCATTGAAACTGCTCCAACCGGCGGTTATGAGTTGTCATGCCCTAGGTCTGAGTCCTTAGGTCGATTGAAGAGAACTTTGGTTGATTCTCCGATTAGCTTTATGGTCTTCAGCTCGGTCCCCAAGAGTAAGTCGATTTTCTACATTGGGTTAGTTGGACGGATCTGGCCTTACCGAGCTAGCTTGATCGCTCCAAAATGTCATGTATTTTTTCCTCCAACACATGAAATTTGATTTAAAGCCACAAATTCATCCTTCCTCCACACACCAATTATTAAGTAAAAATCTCTCTCTTCAAATTATCCTCTCAAAATTTTCAAAACTTTCAGTCTCTCGTACACAAAAATTTGCTAATCTTTTTGTAAGAGATACATTAGAGTGTGACTTTTAACCATTACTTAGTGCAAAAATTTGTATGTTCCTTGTGTTATTCGTATGATTTATTTTCAATTTGGGTTTTGTATTAAGGTGTGGATACACCTTGAGTTATGAGAAAACGAAATTAGTTGGATACCGAACCAATAAAAAAGATTGTGAGACTTCTCGTTAGCTTAGGATAAAAAGGTGGACATCGATCTATTTGGTTCTCACTCGTAAAAGGGCTGACATAGTAAAATATCCAAGGAGCCTTGAGCTAGGAGTGAAGTAAGAATTTCTGAACTACTAATTTCTGGTGTCATTTCTCTCTCTAATCTTTTAATTTACGCATTTAAATTACGTTTGATTTTTACACTTCTCGTTACTCTTGAACTCTATTTTCTTAAAATAAAAAAGTTGGCAAGCAACCATATTCGCCCCTCTGTCATACGATCCTACACTATAATTTCAAAATGTTTGTTCTGGTCCCTAAACTTTGAAAAGGTGGCATTTTAGTTTTTATTTGAAAAAATTTAGGACAAAATTTATAAACAATGAAAATTTATTTAGTGAGTGAAAATATCATGCTAAAATTGTGATAGAAAGAAATAAGATACAAATAATTGAGTGAACCAAAATGATCACTTTTAAAAGTAGAGAGATTGAAATAGACATTTCGAAAGTATATGAACTAAAACAAACAATAGTTAAAATTACAAGTAAAAAAATAACACGTTAAATGTACATGAACTAAAATAAACCAAATTAGTCGAAAGCATATGGACTAAAATAATATATACATACATCCATAAAAACATATTATACATATACATGCATACATATGTATTTGTTGACTCACCAAAGAAGGTGGTCAAGCTATAATGTCCATTATTCTTCAAACTTATGTATTTATGCTGTCATTATATAGTGATATCACTACAAGAAAAACGAACTTTTCCGACGTCTTTTATCCCGATGCAAATAAAGTCGTTGGACAAACATCTCTTTCTCGACCAAATAAAAATTTTTCCTAACGGATTTCTAAAATAGTCCACAAATGTATACTATCTCCCGACTATTTTAAAAGACCGTCGGACTATATTGTCTTTTAATTTTTTTTCAAATAATATAACTCTCGACTATTTTTAAATATAGCTGGAAAAAGTTACACTTACCAACGCTTTTAAAAATAGTCAAGTAAAATCGAGTAAAATTGACTTTACCCGACTATTTTAACTAATCGTTGCCCCATATTGTTTTTAAATTTTGCTTTTATATATTACAACTCTTGCTTTTCTTTTTCAAAATAGTCGTGAGAAGTTAGTTTTCCCACTAATTTATATATTTTTCGACCTATGATTGGTTGACACTTGGCACCTGATAAATCATGACCTCCAACTGATGTCAATGATGTCATATAATACAATAATAATGTGGTTGATTGGCCTGGGTGTGGAACTATACCTAACTTGACTTATTCTATATATCTAATTAAGTAGGATACTACTCATGTACGACGTGATTAATTGATAGGGTAATCATAATTTCACATAATTATTGACATTTATAATACAGTAATTTAAGTATAATTTGCCAAGCTTAATTCAACTTGAGGAGATAACTCTTTTAAAAAAAAAAACTTGTGGAGATAAAAAAAATTAAACATTTCTCGTTAAGATATAAAATAACATTAACTGAAATAAGAAGTTCTAATCTTCCCTCCACCTATTTTTAGGTAATAAAAAAGGCACAACAACATTTCTTTTAACTAAAATTATATCAATATGTTTTTGTTTTATAATAGATGTAGAATGTCGGTTGTTTTACTTTAAAAAAATAATAATTTAAAAAAGGTTTGCATACGTAACTTTTTTTTTTTTTTATAATTTATTGTTCTACCTTTTCAAACGTATTTTTTTTATTGAACAAGTTATCTTACTGCAAAATATTTTTGATACAAATGAAAATAACAATGTTTTAAAAATTCGTATGATTATTTATTTTTTCTAATAAAATTCTTAATTTACATGTTTATATTTTTAAGATATTATATACAAATAAATAGATGATAATTTATACCTACAACTTATATTATTAGGATATCCTCCAAAGATATACTAAACCTTAATCATTGATCAATATTTAGATTGATCCTATTGATTATACCTTTATTAATTCATCAAAATCATTTTTTAAGGGGTAGAGAGATTTAAATTTGTGAATGACTTTTAAATTAATCAATATTGTTAATTGAACAGCCACTAATAATTCATTCTTCTTTTAAAAAAATATTATATCAAGAGGCTAGACACCTGCATTTTTTTCATAGAGATTTTAGTACAGATGGTATTAAATTTTCATCTATATGTGATATTTCTATCAACATTTCTATGTGTCAATGGACTTGACATCGACACTAGAGGTAAATCAACGTTTTCATAATATTGCAAAAATACCGATAAAATAGGAAAAGTATCAACAAAATATATCACTAATATAAACATTAAATTAATATTGATCATTTTAAATTTGTTTAGGAATCATGAAATGCTTATTTGTTAATTAAAAATATTTCTTATGAATTTTTTATTTTTATAATCTTTTAAAAAGTGTTAATCGATATCGATATGTTTATCGATATTTCCATGAAATTGATATCTTGACATCCTCGTCACCATCAACATTTAAAAACTTTAATAGTATGTTGTCTTTTTGCTATATTTATTAAGTTTTTATTTGATTAAATTAGGGAAAGTTCTCTCATTAGCTCATTTAATTTCTTTTAGGTAGGTTGATTATTGATTTTTTTTTTCAATAACAACATGTAGATGGAGATTCGAACTCATAGTTCTTTTCATTGGAGATCTATGAATTAGGCTCAGGTGGACAGTGCGGATAGTTTGTTTGAATTTTTTATTACGCCAAATTCCTTCAGATTTTGAGACTAATGTATGTTTCATTTTTGTAATGGTATACACACACAAATATATATGTGAAAAGTACTTAGGTATTTAAAAAAATTTATAAAGTAAAATCGTAAAAGAGAAATGCAGATCTATTTTTTAAAAAAACTAAAAAAAAATGTTTTTAAAAAAAATGTCCAAATTTTAGTAGTGATATATATATATATTTTATTAAGAAATATAAAAAAGGAATTATCCACGTAGGACTGATAGTGGGTTTACACTTTACAGTTTTGTTAATTAATGAAGAGGAATTATGATGCCCATAAGAAAAAAGGAAAATAATATCAGGAAAAATGAAAATCCACGTAGGACTGTCAGTCAGTACTAAAGGCTAAAGCTGAACAAAGACGGCCCCACTCTGCAGGAGTTTTTCTTCTGAATAATCAAGTAATTAACAAACTAATTTGCTTAAAGCTCATAACCAAGGGGAAAAGAAAAACTGGTAATTCCTTTATTTCTTCAACTCAACGATTTGATGGGGTTTGATTCTTCTTGCAATCCTCTTTCACACTAAATCCACATCCTGTTCTCCTCTGATTTCTCTTTCCCTTTCATCGGTTTCAGACCTCCTGCCTGCTCTGTTAACTCGGAAAATTTTACAAGAGTATTGCAAGGTTGAAGGCCATCGGAATTCTGTTTGTTTTCTTCCGATTCTGTTCAGTTTGACATTTGGAATTGATCAGATTCCGGGCGGATTTGGGTTGATTGGAAGACTCTGACACCTAGGTTTCCAATTGGGTCCTCGTTTGGAAAAAGGACTCGCCGATCAGTCCCCCGGGCTGGGGGGTGGAGGTGGAGAAAGATGAAGGATTTGATTGGGGGGCCGGGGACGAAGAGTGGGCTAGCATTGAGGATTGGTCAATCCGCATTTGCTGCTGCTTCAATAGGAGTTATGGTTTCTGCCTTGGGTTTCTCTGGCTTCACTGCTTTCTGGTATTTCCATTTGCTTTTCCTGCTCTTTCGATTAACTACTTAACACGCGTCGGTTATGTTTGTTTATTTTAAAGGTTTTTATTATTCTTATTGATAATTCCTATGATTTTCTTAGAAGACAAGTGTCTGCTTCGTCATATTGTTGAAGAGAAGCTCCTACTTTAGATTTAGCCTCTTTCTTATAGTTGATATACGATTTAAGTTCATTCCTCAATTGGGTGATTTCGATAACTGGGAATTTTCTTATTAAAAGAGGGGAAATGGAAGAAGATTGTGAAATAATGATGTGCATCCGTGGTCTGTGTTCTTTGTAAAGCTTTTCTGAGTGTAGAGTTTGACTTGGATGTTAGAACTACTTTGACCATGTTTAATCTAAGGCGTTTTTCCAAATCCAACTTGTCTCAAACTATCTGTTTATTGGTGAAAGCAATGTGAAATCTGCAAAATTCAAAACGTTGCATTTTCAAACTTGTGTAATATAATACAAGAGTCAAGAGATTCGATCTGCACTACTGAATCTATATCCTGAGATCTTATGTTTGGGTACCTATTTAAGATCTCTCATCTAAAGAGATAACTTTCTTTTGTGTGGAAAGGGTAGGGACTCATTGATTTCAGTTTTATCGCATACCGAAGTAAAGCTGGTGTAAATACTACATACATTGTTTAAATCCACAACTTGACTAACCGTGTATGTTTGCATTTAGTCTGCTGTTAGATAGGATTTCTATTATTGAAGCGGATGAATTGTTTGATGGGTCATTTCATTAATTTTAAACAAGGAACACATCGGAAAAGTTGATGGAACATGGAGACTTCCAATAACTATCCTGTTTATCCTCATAGACTATACTGATAAGAATTATTCAGACTGTCTCATTCTAAAACCATTCTATTGTAAATTGGTGGGAACTGCCATGATATGTTATTTTGTTGCAACTTTTACTTGAGGTTAGCATGAGAATTGAGATGTCATTTTGAACTTTTTACTTTTCTCGTGACTATAGTAGATGAGAAATGCCTATGTTTAGGAGTATTTCAGTAGGTCAATAAAATGGCAGACGGCAGTGCTGCTCCTAACCTGGCTGAAACAACCTCTTTGTATTTGCACCTTAAAAATCCTTAAAAATTCTTTTTTCCCCTATTCTTCTAATTGGTAGATCTTGTGTAGCTGGGAAATATGTGACTAATTCTAATTACTACCGTTTTAGAATTATGATGTACATTTTTCTTCACAATGTTGACTGATTTTTATTTAAATTTGCGATTCAGCTATTTGATTGCATCAATGGGCCTTCAAGTGCTTTGGAGCTTTGGACTTGCATGCCTTGATATGTATGCTTTGAGGAGAAAAAGAGACATTCAAAACCCAATATTAGTCAGCCTGTTTGTCGTTGGTGATTGGGTATTTAGCTTATCCCTGAGTTTGTTAATATTTCTAATTCCTTTAATTGGAAACAATAATGTCCTTGTTGGCCTGGACTGCCTCAAATTATCACTTGTTTACGTAACTCTGTGTCTGTGTGTTTATGAATGTCTTCAGGCCCCCTTCACCATTCTGATGCCTTGATCCTGCTAAATCGTTATCTGAGTTTTGCATTTTGATAGAAATACTGCATTTAGCGATGAAAAATGTTTAGTTACTTATAATATTTTATGAGGCCTGCATTTAAATGGAGTCATAATCCTGCAACCCCCACCATACGCATATATTTTGAAACCATGAGCTATTCCTTCTGGTTGAACTTTTGATTATTTAAATTAGATTGCCTCTCGATGAAAAAGGGCCAATTATTAATTGATATTTTTGCTGGTGTTTATATAACACAGTTGTCTTATGTCCTCTCTAGGTAGCTCAATTAATTAGATTGCCACTACTTATTTAAGATGCTACTTTGGTTTCTCATTTGGACAATTTGGGTTCTACCACATCTGCCTTTCTAATCTCATAACGCGACTCAGAAATCTTTGATGTCTTCTTGTTGCTTCTAGCCTTTAAAATGTTTAAATTGGTTTGGTTTTAGTTGAAATATAGACTAAAGCATAAACTATGCAGGTGACAGCCACTTTATCCCTTGCTGCTGCGAGTTCGTCGGCAGGGATTATTGTTCTATATGCCAAAGATTTGGACGTCTGCAAGTTCCATAAAAATCTTCCTTGCAGCATGTTCCAGATCTCCATAGCTCTTGCTTTTGTTACCTGGGCTCTTATTGCTATGTCATCACATGTCATGTTCTGGATTTTATTAGCCTCAGTCTAGAAAACTCATGCTTGCTTCCTTTCTTTACTGATAAAAAGCAAGCTTTTTGCCGTATTTTTTCCCAATATCATCTGTAAATAGTCTCGTTTTTATAACATTCATTTTTTGACATTTGTCTTGTTTCATGTGCAAACTCTTTGTTTTGAAACAAAGAGGAATTCTTTGAGAACAAAGAGATTGTTCCCATTTTGCTCTGGTTTTTATGATTAATTCATTCTCGACCTGAGCATCTTACACGGATGACTCATAAACAATATACCCTCTAGTTTGATCTCATTGTTATCAGAATGATGTTGCTTTTTCTTAGGAAGATCTGTGATGTTGCTGCTTTACAATGAGAATCTTTCATGACCATTAAATAATACATTTTCGTTGTCATAAAGGACCATGAATTTCTCCTAGGCGATTACACACTTTTGGAATTCGATGTCAGAATTTAAATGGCCTAAGGCATCGCACAAATACTTAGGATCTCAGAACATGTTTCCTAGGATTCTTTTACAGTTGTCCATCTCTTAATGGCAGTTAAGGTTAGGGCAGCAGGGTGTATCACACTCTTCTATGCTAAGGTTTGATCCACCGAAATTCATTATTTTTACAGGCAAACTACTTGAATTTAGAATAGAAGATTAGATTTGAATCTTACTGTTAGAACTGAAGAAGATCTTGTTCAGTGTACTGTATATTCTTTTTTAACAAATATAGAAGGGTTGAAATATGAAGATTATGATCTTTCAACTAAACTGCATACCTTAATAAGACAAAACTTAATTAGAGTCTTTCTTCCCATGATGGACACCTACTTTAGAAATTAATTCAATGTGTTTCCTGCATCAAATGTTGTAAGGTTAGGCAGTTATCTCGTGAGATGAGTCGAGGTGTGCGCAAGTTGGTCCAGACACTAACGAATATAAAAAAAGAAAAAAATAGAATCTCTCTCTCCGTGTGAAAATTAAAACTAGATCTGTTGAAGCTTTTCATTTGAAGATTTCTAAGTAATCCATGTCAGTGGGGGTGGGGGCAGGGCTGGATTTCTTGCCTTTTTTTTTTCCCTTCCTTTTTCTTTTCTTTTTTCTTTTTCAAATAGAAAACTCTGTATCCAAACAATACATTTACAGTTAGCCAGTATTTGGAATATCACTATTAAGAACAGTAATAATGTTGTGTAGCTCATCAGCAACTTCTTTCATGGCAGGCCTGTTCTGCCTCTTTTCATCCAAGCAGGCTGCTGCTAGAGACCCTACTGCCTTAATTATCTCCATTTCTACTCTGCTAGCTCCCTCTTTAAGCACAGGATCAACAACCTCCATCAATCTGTCTTCTTTGATAATCTTCTTGAAATAAACTACTAAATTTACATCCTCCTCTTCTCTATTAAAATCAATGGCTTTCTCAGAAGTTAACAGCTCCAACAAGACAACTCCAAAACTATAAACATCACTCTTGTCCGTCAATTGAAAGTTAAGATAATATTCTGGGTCTAGATAACCTAATGTTCCCTGAGCACCAGTTGTAATGTGGCTTGATTCAGTCATTGCCAATCTAGAAAGCCCGAAATCAGCAACTTTAGCATTCAGTTTCTCGTCTAGTAGAATATTGCTTGTTTTTATGTCACGGTGATAGATTCTCCCCGTGGCTGAAGTGTGGAGATAAGCAAGGCCCTCAGCTGTTTGGTGTGCGATGTAGAGTCGACGATTCAATGTCAGTGGTGGCCATTTGCTTGAACTCGTATTCCCATGGAGGTGATCAAATAGGTTCCCGTTGGAGATATACTCATATATTAAGAGGGGTTGCTCGAGTTCAAGACAACACCCAAGTAGACGAACGAGATATCGATGGTTCACCTGGCAAAGAATTCGAACCTCGTTTAGGATTTGATCAATACCCTTCGTGCAACCCAACTTGGCACGCTTAACTGCTATTAAGGTCCCATCATCTAGGTTGCCTTTGAAGACCTCCCCAAAGCCACCAGAGCCAAGCAAGTTCTCTTTTGAGAAGTTGTTTGTGGCCTTTGCTATCTCTTTGGTTGTGAACATCCTCGCAGATTTGCCACTGCTGCTGACATTTAGAATCACTTCACGAACTTGCTTCGAACTCAGTTTGTTCTCTTCTGGATTCCGTCGTCGTCTTTTGAAAATTATAAACATGGTCGGAGCTCCAATCACCATTATGATTACTCCCGCCATTGCTGAGAAGGAATAAATTTATACAGCATTGTTAAGTATGTTCATTCTAGTTTCATACTCAATAGGAACCATGATTTGCCTTGATTTGTACCTCCAAAAACAGCAGGCATTTTCTTATGCTTGTGCTTGTGAGTTCTCTTGTTCTGTATTTTCACATCTATGTCAAAGCAAAGATATTATTAATCTCAAACCCAATGGGGTGAAACTTAGAAGTAGCTGAAAAATCGAAGCCAATGATTATATATTACTCACTGTTGGTGACACACGAGCCATTTACAGGATTCCACTTAAAAGGTAGCTTGCAGAAGCACCTCCTCTGGCCGGCATTTGCAGGGTCCGGCATACACGCAGAATTCTCCCAATTCCGGCACTCCATGGCCAGTCGGCATGGTGGCTCTCGCGGCAGCGCCCATTGAATCTCCACCCCAGGTTCCGGCCACTTCTTCGCGGGAACTCCATTTAAATTCACAAAACTTTGGTACGCGGAACACCGCTCCTTCCTCACCCTGATCTTATACGCCGTTATGGATCCTCCAGTTGTGTACCAGCAGCACGTCGGCGACGCCTTACACGGCGCCATTTCCACCGGATTCTGTCTAATGAAGTCGTGGCAGACGCTATTTGGCGAACAGTTCCAAGAATTCTCCAGGACTTCCACGGAACAGTTGAAGAGCAGGACGGTATTCCTGCTGGAAATGGTGAAAGGATGGCCATCGTCGAGCCAAAAGCCGTGGCTGCCAAAATCGGACGAAACGCAGGTGTTTTTAGCCAGCCCCGGCGGCCGGATGATTAGCCTCTGTGTGATTGGATTGACAGAAGTGATCAAATAGGAAGAGCCATTCAAAGACTCGAACCAGAGCAAGCCAACAGTGCATCGGACTCTGTAGAGCGGGTCACCGCAGTCCGGCCGGGTGCTGAGCGGATAGGGGACTGGGGTGCGGCCACAGTCCGGGCAGCGCTTGGCCCCCGCCAGACGCACCGGAGAGCGGAGGAAGACTGGGAGTAATAAGAGAAGAAAGAAAAGGGAGAGATTTTTGACCATTTTTTGATGGGAATTTGAAGCACAGACTGCAGAGAAATGTGATCAATCGCAGAGAAGATGGGTCTGCATGCTTTGGATTCGTGAACTCATAAAACTACAAAAGTTCTGAACTTTACGAGTGGACTGATTTGGTCTCCCAATGCATCGAAGAAGAGCAAAAAGATTACACAATGTTTAAATTCTTCTCAATCTTTTTTATACTTCGAATTAAAGTTTGAAACTTTATGCAGTATAATCAACGGTTGAGGTTCAAATCCTTACTGAACACTACTATCAAGGATAGTAGCAAGCAAAATGAATAAGCACATGCCCTCATCTATTTTTTTTTTTAATCTTAAATTACAGGAGTTAAAGATTTTTAAATTTTCTTAAATTTTTAGAATTGACTAATTATATGTATAAAAAAATTAGAATGTAAAATTTTGCTGTAAAATTTTTTGGCTCATGTTTGATTTGGTTATAAATTATTATAGTGCTTTTTTTCCCTTCTAAAATGGGCGTTGTAAAGTACCTTTTTATTAGATATGACTAAATTAATATATGAATTAGGTCAAGGAGGTGTTCAGAAGTACACAGTCTCTTATAAAATAGTGATTTTTTTTTTTATGAGTATAAAATAGTGATATTTACTCTTTGCAGAATAAAAAAAATTGTGATATTTAACTTATGCCCAAATATATAAATTTCGACTATGCTATGACAAATCTATCAATCACTAATGTTTTTGTTACTTTATGGTAAGTCATACATCATAATCTGTGGAGTCCCAAGTCTTTATTCTGTAGCAAATGATTTGGAATATATGATGGGTTTAAATTTTTGGGATGCAGCAGGTTTAAAATTTGTGTTTTTTTTCTCTTTAAGGATTTTTTTTTTTCACGGGGTGTATACCATGAGCTATATTCAACATAAACATTTAAGCCATTATTATTTTAATGTTCACTAATACCGAGATATGATCGGAAAAAATCCGTAAATAAGAGAGATATGTTAGAGGATGAATTTTTATAAATAAGAAGTTAACGATGAAGATCGGATCTTGTCCTCACCATCATTGAAAAATTGAGTTTTTTGTTGTCAAATATTTAATGGTGGTGAGAACAAGATTTAAGGAGCGAGATATTTTCCATACCATTATTCACTACGAAACAAGAGCTCTGTTAATTACAACAAACTTCACGTGTTTTCACAATGTTAATATTATAAACTCGAGTGACTTTGTTTTTGTCTTTGCTCATAAGATCTCGTATTAACGAAGATAATTGACTTCACCATGAATGTCCTCTTTCTCTAATCAATACGAGACTTCGTTTGCACCTTAGAACAAGCTCTTGATTAATTCACGAGCTAACTGCAGAAGGGTTGTTACTTCAATGTAAATTAAGACATGAATACAATGATTTGAAGTGGGTTGTGTTAAAAATAAAAGAGACATCATGATGAGATGAATTGGATGAAACCAGTGCAAGGAAAATGGCTTAAAGAGCAACATTCCTTGGAGGAACCAAAAAGAACAAATTCCAGTACTTTTGTCTCGCCGTGGTCCGAATTCTTAAGCATGATTCTTCCAATCTCACTCTCCAAATTCCCAGGAGCCAACCTTCCCTCTGTCTCTGCCTCCTTCTCCTTCTTCTTTACAAGTTTTGCAACCAAACTCTTAAACTAAAATTTGGGTACGGTCTAGCTTTTCAAACTCATCTCCCTACAATACATTGATTTTATAGTTAAAGACTTTTCAAAAGTACTACTTTCATTCTATCGACTTAGATATTAGAATTCTTTTAGAGAACGTTTAGCTGGGAGCTCATTGATTCCTTCAGGTCCTGATCGGATACAACAATACTGTACCGATGTGAGTTAAATAATTTATGTCATATCTTTTTACTGAACTTGAAGGTAGATTTTTACTATTTACAAGTATAATTAAGATCTAATATTACAGTAATTCTTAAATATATATAATGTAAGTGAAATGTTGTCATGTGTATTAATAATTAACCTTATTGTTACACAAAAGCTTGATTATTATAGTAACTCAACAATAATTGATATATATCTTCAATTAAGAGGTTGCGAGTTTGATCTCACATCCCACACATATTGTATAGAAGGGAAAAAAACCTTGATTATTATTAGTATGACAATAAATTATTAATATGAGCTATTTTTCTTTTTCGTTAGAACCATATATCAATTACCGCTGAACTATGTTCACTTTGACGTTGAATTTTCTTTATTAAGAAAAAAAAAAAACATTTTTTGTTATTCGATCGCTTTCAATCCATAGCACTCTCACTTCTTCAATCTTTTCGGCTATTTTTAGTTTAGGTAGTAGTTGGATAAGAGATGAGAAGTTATTCATAATCTGGGTATATTTTTACACCGAATTGAGTTATTAATTAAGTATATTAATATAAACGAGTTGTACATACCTAATTAAAAATAAATTAATGCATCAAAAGTAATGTCCACCTCATAAAAAAACTAAATGAATTTTCATATCTTTTAAGCCCAATCCTAGTTTAACAAACAAAATTCCTTCGCTTCAACTTATCTTCCACCGAAAAATCATGAATTTGAATATCCAATCTTATATACTCCATAAAGAAAAAAAAAATCTCCATTTTAACTTTGAATTAACAACACGCGACCCTTTTGGCCTTACAACCTCTATTCACAATTGACATACACACACTCCAAGCTTAAAACGCACAGTTCTCCCTTTGGAAGATTTCTGCACACACAAACCACCATAACCATTACCCCTTACTTTCAAACGGAGACAGCAACAAACACACAGTACCATTTAAATCAAGTACCGAACAACGACTAAAAACCTTAATTAAATTACCAAACAACCACAGACGACACAGCAACAGTTGATCCACTGTCGTAATCAAAAAGCAACCTCCTTTGCTTCGATCAGGTAGCAACGCCACGAGAAACCAAACGACACATCGGAGACTGAATCCCAGAAGAAGAAGAAGAAACATTATTATAATTGTGTTGTTGATGATCATCAGCGGGAAGCCTTACATAAGAAGCCGAGGGAGACTCACAGAACCACGACGGCGCTTCATAATTAATCTCTTCATTGTTGTTAATATTACTACTCCCATTTCTCAACTGTACAATGGCTTTGTAAAGGAATGGAATTAGACCCTCCATTTCTCTCTCTCTCTCTGAGGAAGAACAAGAGACACAGAAAAAAGGGTTGGTTTTATAGCAGTAGCCAAATTAATAAAGATTTGGGCATTTGATGGCTACTGAAAGGTATATCCAAACCACACCCATTTGCAATTTGCATAGTAATCTCCCACCAAATCTTTCTTTATTATCTCTTTTGTTTATTATTATGTTTTAAAGGTTGTTTTTTTTCTTCTTTTTCTCTCTCTCTCTCTTGTGTTGGCTTTTGAAACAAGGCTGGTCGGTAGTTTATATTCATTTGTTTTTATTTGCTCACTTTTGTACATTTGTGATACACGTATTTCAAGTTTAATATGTATATGTATAGAAGTGAACGCCATAAGATTTTTGAGAAATATATGCAAAATATGATATATAGTTTATCGGTAAGGATCAAAATTAAGTTAAGATTTATATAATTACATATGATTTTGTATGTTAGAAAAGTAAAGATATAAATTTTTGAAGTTCTCTTTGTTATATATATTAGACTTTAGTTCATTTTGGTGCAGGTACTTTTAGAACGATTAATTTTAATGTCTCTGTATTTTTAACTTTTATTTATTTTAGTTATTGAATTTTCAAAACGTCCATATTAGTCCTATAGTGACCATTTTGGTCTATTTTCACTTCTATCTTATTTCTTTCTATACTAAATTTAGCACGAAATTTCTTGAAATGTCGTCATAAATTTCTAGTAAAAGGATTTTAAATTAGGAACCAAAACGTGTAGAAATTGATATTTAAACCTATATTTTAAATAAAATGTCGGCTTTTTTTTTAATAATTTGGTGAGACACACTAAGGAATAATGAGAAGCTTCTTTTATTTCTTTGATGTTGTATTAGACCATGAATATATGAGTACAATTTACGTATCTATTTAATATAAAGAAACAAAAACTCTTAATGTTTATTAATATGAAAAATCAAAGTAACAAAATTGAAAGTAGATGTTTGTGGGCACTAAAAGAAAAAAGGAAAGAAAAAGAATTAGATGTTTGTGGAGATTGTGATTATTAATTTGAAAGTTGCGACTCCACTGCACCTATGAGAAACATCTTTTTTGTGACTTTAATTTAGGTTTTTCATCTAAACCAAAAAAAATTATTTATGTACTATTTGACACTGATTTTTTTCCCTTTCTATTTTTAGAAATTATACTTGTTTTATCACTATAATCTTAAAGACATTTGAATTCTTAGTAAAATTTTAAAAATAAAAATAATTTTAGAGACTACTTTTTGTTTTCAAAATTTACTTTTTATAAAAGGTTGATAAACAAGATTAATGAATGCAGTTGGTAAGCTTAATTTTCAAAAATATAAAATTAAAAAAATGATTATAAAATGAATTTAATGTTTTGGGAGAATAATTTATTTATATGCATGTAGTGTAAACAAAACAAGAGATCTAATATTACATAAGATATCTAAAAGATAAAAGAAAATTTTATTTCGGATCTTCTTTCTTTAGTTTTGAATTAATGTTTACGAAGTAGTATTATGTTTGTTTGGTAGATTTTGCAAACCCACAAAGCATAAGATATTTAGCAGCAAATTGTTTGTTGGATTGTCGATTTATTTATGTTGATTAAATTGGTCAATCTCCCATTTTAATTAACAATTAACCCATTCATCTCTCAATTGTATATTAACATATATAGGTTTAGTACATAATTTTTCTTGTAAGTCTTAGCCTAATAGACAAATGATGTTCTAAACAGAAAAATCTATCCACTTAATTAAGATCGAATCCCTCCAAATTCACATGTATTCTGTCAAATATACCCCTATAAATTGATATGATATATAATATAAAAAATTAATTACCAGTGGTGCTACAAGGCCTGCACAAACAATAAGCAATAAAAACCAAAACTTTGGATTCCAGACTGTCACATTAGAGCACAAAATAAAGCTGTATACACTTAAAATTAAACCCATATGATATTGGAAGTGAAGTGACCCAAAACTTTACTTCATCAAGATTATCACCAACCAATTCCATGATCGAATGAGAGCCGTCGGATGAAGTCATTGCTCAAATCATGAGGCAAATCATGGGGTTTGAAAATGATCTAAGCCGTCCCTTTCCATTCCCATTTTGAAGAGAGAATAATGTTTATACATAAATTCAAAGTAGAGAATGATCTCAAGCAAAGACAATAAGGCTATGGAAGAGATTGGGTGAGATGATGGGAAGAAGTTTCATAACCTTTTTTGAATTTCTTGCAAAAAATTAAAATAAATCAAATGGAAATTGGAAGTTTATCGCTTTGAGATGAAAAATATATCCACATACATAGTGTCAATTTACAATCCTGGAAATTAAAGAGAATATATGAATGATCTTAAAGAAAAGCCAAAAATTGTAGAGATATATGGCGCATGTAAGATAATAAACTAATATATAATCTCCATATTGATTTGGTGTGTATTTAACAAATTAAATTATTCACTTATAAAAAAAATCGGTTTCTTGAAACTAATTTCAAGAACAAATATAAATAATATTGAACTTTCAGTTTATAGAATCATGGAGGTTTGAATTTTCATATATATATATATACTACTCATTTTAACTTTCAAACTTTGAATTTTAATTTGTATCGCTCTCAAAATGTCTGTGTTAGATCCTAAAATTTACATTTTGTGTTGCATTTAACATAAAAGTTTAAGTCACTTCGGTTTAAAATCCAATATTTGATGGATACATAACACAAATAAATCCATCATAACATAGAATTAAAATTGAATACAGTGATACTTGCGTTGAGCAAATGAAGTTAAAAAACATACCACTTATAATCATTGTATTTGAAACTCAAGCGTGTGTTGTTGTAGGTACGGTTTCTATTAAATACAAAATTTAATTAAAAAAAATAACTAAAATGGATTTCTATAGCAAATTTAGACCCTTCTTTTAAGCTAATATATGAATGGAATTAAAATGTAAAAATTTGCTACAAAGGCTTTTCTTTGGAGATTTCTTATGTCATATTTCCTTGTGAAATTTTATGAATGAGTAGTTCATAGATACATACACAGTTTTCTTGGTTTGATAAGACCCATGAAACAAGTTTTATTATTAAGCATTATTTTAACATCAATATCAAGATGGTTATTTTTCTTCAGGAAGAAGGATCAATAATGAAGCTTGCAAATCAAGCACCAAGGATTAAACCTTTTCATTTGATCAAATCAGATACAATCGCCAGAGAATTGAAAGGTTAACCCCCAAGATGTAAGATGCCCAAATGATTGTTCACACTCACAGTTTGCTTGGGAAAGTTTCTCTAAATTATGTTTTAATTATTTCCACAGCTTGTTTTGGGGTTTAGAGAGATTTTTCAAACCAATCAATATTTGGTCAGTGTTCCCAGTTCTGAAACTCTCTTCTCATCGATGTAGACACACCCAAAAGTGGACTACAGAAATCCTGCCTTGTTGATATGAGTTAAAACAAGATTTCTGTTGAATGGTTTACCTTTTCGCTCGAGAAAACCGTATACATCGTGTTTTCAAATAGGGTGGCTGACCCATCTAGTTCTTTTAGCAGAAATGATTCCTCTAAGTTTGACAGGATCAGAAAGGAAAGAGGCTCTGTAAAAGAAATAAAAACTTGTTTTCCCATATCTTCCTGCTAAAACAATGATTCATCAGATGTCTAGTGAGAGAATAAAGCCAGGCAGCTACTAAATTAATAATTTCAAAGATTGAATGTTATGTTATCGCTAAAAAGCTTCTGAATATAGCAAAAGAGCAGTAACAAGAATCTGGCTACGTCCCACCGAACAATGTTAAAAACTAAAAAAGCAAGTCTTGCACCATGCAAGTTTTGAAATCTACTGCTACTCAACTAAACTTACAAGTGATATTAAAGAACTTGGTGATATAAAGAAAAACATTAACCAGATCGTCAGTGTCAGTGTCGTGGTCTATGTCGAGCGGTTCAGCTTCCTTCACATTGACGACTTTTTACGTTTAATTGGATGGTTCAGCTTCAGCCAGCATGAGCGTGTGCCACCAACCACAAGAGACATTTTGTGGTAAACATCCTTCAATGGATACCTTGGATGGAATGTTGCGATCGATTGAATCTCCAAGACCAAGCTGCAATAGGTGAAGGATGTTACTAGCAAATGCAACAGGAAGTTTCAAAAGCAACTTCATTAAGTTGAAAGAATCAGTACCTGGCCATATTTATTCCATCCCCAAGAAAATAACTGGCCATCGTCTTTAAGATTAAGAACGATCAAGGACACAAGATTAGAACATGAAACAACTCATAAGAGGACAATACAGTGGTCTTTGAGATCACTTCATCCCATATACTAGTAGATTGAATAGAAAAATCATACGCATACCGTACCTGTTAGTACAGCATTGTGACGAGCGCCACAAGAAATTTGTTTTGCACGCTTACTTTCCAAGATTGGAGCGTCCAAAAGCCTTGGTATAGTCTAAAATAGAAAAATAAATTCTATTAAGACTAAGGACTATTTGAATGCTGGGTCTCTTACATTTCCTCTCACATTCTTTAATAGGAAAACCTCTAAAAGTAGTGGGGAAGGAAGTAGACATCTCCCAGTTACAAAACAGAGATTTTGGTTACTAAATTCAATTATAAGCTTTGTTTTGTATGAGTAGAACAAAGCAATGAGGCTTTGTCTCTCAAATTTCCTTGATTTCATAAGAGAACTGGTAAGCTATGGTAAGCTATAATGTCAGCAATGAACAAAAGTCAGGTTAGTTTGATTGTTTTACCAAAAGGAGGTATGATATCTATATTGTTTATTTTCTTGTAAAGACCCCACCAAGCGGACTGACAAATAACAATGGTTCGACAGTTCTACTAGGTCGTTCTTCATTCTCTCCTGTTGGCAAAACAATCAAACTAACCTGACTTTTGTTCATTGCTGACATTATAGCTTACCAGTTCTTTTATGTTATCTAAATTGTTTATTTTCTTGTAAGACCCCACCAAGCAGACTGACAAATAACAATGGTTCGACAGTTCTACTAGGTCGTTCTTCATTCTCATCCCAGACACAATAATACTGCTTAAATTGTTAAGCAAGTTATTGAGTTCATGGAATTACTCAGGCATCTAACTCGATTTTAGGAACAGAAAAAGTACCTCACCCTGCTCAGCACCAGTTCCCAGCTGTCCAAACTGGTTCCCCCCAAAGGCATATATAAAGCCTTCGGCAGTAATACAAACGGTATGCCATAGTCCAGCAGAAATGCTCTCAACTTGGCTACCCGATAAAGAAGACACACATGTCGGTCTCAATAGATCATTGGTGTTCCCTTGCCCACACTAGTTCAATATAAAACAGTTACATGAAGATGATGAACATTATCGTTCATGCAGTAATAAGCAAGACGTCTAAACACAGTATGATTGCTTGGGTACTTTGTTGCTTATATGTAGGAAAAGTTACTGTTGAAAGAGATATTAAATAGCTTATAACAATAATATTTTCATGAAGAGCCTCACCATAGAAAGACAACAGGGAAAGAAAGCAGACCTGTCCATATAGTCCCCATCCGAAAGTGAGAAGTGCACCAGTATCTGATACATTAAGCATATAAGCAGAGAGAAACAAACAACCAAAGAGAAATACTGATGGCAATAAAGCTATGGTTCTAGAGTTTTTAAATCAACTTCACAACTTTCAGATTAGCCCAAAATGGTTACCAGTTAGTACGACGCTATGGCGACCTCCGCAAGCAATCCCCTTCACATAATTTCCAAGCACTTTACCAGCAGCAATCTTAGATCCTTGATAAATTACTGAAGACCTATCTTTAGCAGAAGTAGGCAATTCAATGCAAGGTATGATATGAGGGGAAGATACCATCTTCACCCGAGAACCCAAACCTAACTGTCCTTCACCTCCATGGCCCCAACCCCACACCTGTCCCATATCTGAAACTTCGGTTAATATAATGATGCATCAGGGTGTCTTTTTTCTTTACATCAAAAATCTTCCATAGCTTCGTACTTGATATAACCTACAAAACTATGTAGTGTAACCACAAAAGGTAAAATTACACCTGAAAACTATGAGCATGTGGGTGGCTCCTGCATCAGAGATTTACCTGATAGGACGAGAGTGTGACGTCCACCGGCTGCAACTGCGGAAATCTTCACTCCAGGCCCAAAGTTTACAAGACAAGGTAATGCAGTAAAAAGATCATCTCCTGGGCTTGAAATTTCAGCATCTTCCTTCACTGAATTGATCTTTCTTCGCTTCACAGTTTCCTCTCCAACCCTTTTGTTGTCGAGTTGGGAATCCATTCTATCAACTATCTTCGCTTCTTGAGGTCCTCCCACTAAGAATATATACAAAAAGATTAAGTATATCATAACATATTAGCTTAAACATGTTGGTCTAGTAGTAATTTAATATAATATCAGAACAAGAAATCCTATGGTCAAACTCCTACAATGCCAATTGTTATTAGTAGTTGATGTGATGAGCACAAACCCAAGGAGAGTGTTGAGAGTATATACAAAAAGATTAAATATATCATAACTTACCAGCAGGAAAGTGTTGAGAATATATTTAAAAGATTAAATGAGTATAACCTACTTAGCTTAAGAATTTGGGTTTAGTGGCCACTCACTACTAGTGTGTTTTCAACCAAATATTAAACCGCTGGATATAATTCTCCGTCGGTTTACACAAGGACTTGAAAATTTACCTTGATCAGTTGTTGGTAGACCTTGTTTCCCTGTAGAATCCTTTAACGAACCTCCTCCAATGGCCAAATCTCGCAATGTTTTCATTGAGGGTATGCACTCGCTCCAGCCCCATGTGTACACTTCACCATTCTCTGTACGTTTACGGTTTACAAAAACTTTCTAAGCAAAGAAGTGTTCTTTCCTTTGAAGAGAACATGTATCCATCTATCTTCAGGACAATCTATCGTCACTCATGAACATAACATATTCGTAGAAACAAGCAATCATCTGAAGTTCCCCTACAAATTTTGGTTGCAACAGCGAATAGAACAGTACCTATAACTGAAACACAATGGGCCCAACCGGCATCGGCCTTCACTACCAAAGCCTCAGTTGGGAGAGGAAAAGCCTCCGGAGTCTCCTTAACAATGTTTCAGCTCCAAAAATATTCAAATCAATTCCAAGACCAAGCAAAAAAGAAGGAAAAAAAAGATAAAAAACAAAATCAAAGAGATTTTTTCATTCAAACATCCGCATTAGCATTACCCCATGTTTTCCTGAAGTCAGATAACTTTGACCTTCCTCATCCGCCGCACCCCACGTAATTAGTTTTCCAGACTCTAAAACCCAAATTACAAACAGTTCATCGACCAAAATTGGAACGAAACCCCAAATTAAAGATAAAGAACAGAGAGATTTCAAAGATCGATAGCATTAAAACCTGAAATGGCCATCGCAAATCCACAACCACCACCGCAGACTTCCTTCCATGAATCCCCGCCGTCGATCGAACCCGGAAGCCGGACTGGCTCCGGCGAGAGCATAAGAGATTTATCCTGCAAAGCTCCGGGAAGATACCCCCACATGTAGACGGCCGCATCGGTTTTCTTCGCCATTTTTGCACCGTTCTCTCCTCCTGCATTCTCCTCCCTAATCCATCCAAATCCAAAGCTGATAAATAACTCACAGAAATTCTTATTTTAATCAGTAACAAAAATTTTTATTTCTACGAATAACGGAAGCTTTACTTCATCTTTCTCTCTCTGTTTCCGATGCCTCTGCATATGGAAATTCAGCCACTAGCGGAAAAGAAAAATGAAAAAGAATAAGAGAAGAGGAAAGAAAAATAATTTAAAAGGAATGGGCCGTATCAATTACAGAGATGTAACAAGAGCCACGTCGGATATCGATGTGGTCAGTGGACACGTGGAGAAATCAGGACCGCGTGAGAGCAATCTTTTGAAGCCACAAGATTAGGGTGGAAGTTTCTGGAAGCCAAAGACTTTCTGGAATCTAAACATACCCAAATGCTTCCCACGTGGGTCCGACATTTGTTTATTCCGATTTGGAGTCCACCAGACACGTGGAGATTGCCACTTCTCAATCAACGTTTTCAATACAGCCACGTATGCCACGCCTGTCACACTAAGCTCATTAAACTATAATAATATTTTTCTGTTCCAAAAATGAATATATTCGTTTATTTTAGCCATTGGCATTGCTTAGATAAAAAATTGAACCCAGCCTAACTCGACGTATTAAATTATTTATTTGTAATATGATGATAATTCTTATAATAAAGAAGTTATTCCAAATAATATTTAAAAGATATTTAATATGGTTGTCACATGTAACATCGTTTTTTAGATTTTTTTAATTATTATTTGAAAAATATCACTTGAACTATCGAAGAAGTATTATTTAACACAATAATAACTTGTGACAAAGGAAGGAAACACAGGAATATTTAAATGAATTATTAGAGACTATATAGCTCTTTTATTACATGTAAGAAAATAACTGAAGTAAAAATCTATCAATTGAAAACGATCTCTAAACTTTATATCTTTCTAAATGTCTCATTCAAACTATAAGTACACAATTATTTTAGTCTTTGTTTTAAAATGTTCATATAATGTTGATAAAGGTTTTTATTTCATACATGTTATATTATATGAACTTGATGATGTATTAGTTCGAATTTTCACGGTTCTCATTTAAAATATAATTTCTGACTCTATGGATCACTGATGAAGAAGCCCATGTTGGTGGCCTAAGTCCAGGCTCTGGGCTGCTACACTGGGCCCATCCCAGTTGACCAAATTATGTAATGGGCTTGCTTAGAACTCTCAACGAAAACTAAGAAATATGGCTAGGGAAATCTTTAGGAATGTATACTCACATGTTATCGTTAAGCAAAATCGTCAAAGTTTTTCTAAATTGCATCATAGTTTTAGGGGAGGTGTATAATTTCTTATTTATCCCTCCACACATTTCATGTCCATATTACCCTTGCAATCTTTCTCCATTTTACCTTTTATGTCTCCTAATTCCGTTAAATCTCTCCTAAACTAGCAATGTTATCGAGTTAATATTGAAACCACCCTAACTACAAGATTTACATAATTCCTAAAATCTTTCCACAAAATTTAAACCACAAAATCTAATTATATCATACTTAATATTGAAACTACATTCAAGTACAAAATCTATATAATTTCTAAAATCTTTCCACAAAATTTAAACCACCAAATCTACATATATGATTCAAACAAGTTTAAAATGTGTTTAATTTTTTTAAACAAACCTAACTAATTGGTTTGAACATTTCACTGTAATCAGCAACCTTAAATACAGTGTTTCTTTAATATTCTTACACAAAGTATCATTAATCCCCACCCATTTTAATTTTACATTTTTTTCAAGAATCAAATCAATCAACGTGGGAACATTATGCGATCATTGTTAGCCACAATTTTAGTTGGGAGGAGCACAACAATTATCAAGGGTTCATTACCGGGCACGTTTCAATTCCATTCGATTTCACCCTAGAACAACTCTCTGAATGTATCTCTAGAGATCTTCATTTTCTAGAAGGAAAAAAAACGTCTTTCACTTTTCAGAAATGGTACTGGCAATCCGATAATTATGAAGCTGTTAATAGATAGGGACATGGCGTGGGCCATATCCCTGTTGGCGGATGTCAGGTGCAGTGATTACGACATAGTTGTAGATACTGACCCCGTATATAACACCATCTACGGGGTAGTGAAAGTTCAGACGCCGAAAATAGATTGAAAACTATCTGCAGAAAATAGTCATATTTTGCATCACATAATCTTTCTTTATCACTAAATCGGAACAAAGATCAATGCATAAAATATGACAAAAAGGTAACCAAAACCAACAAAATMAAAAATGCATATTAGCAATCAAGGAAACATATATTAATATTTACCTAGGGAGAGATACGATGGATGCGTAAATATATGGCTACTAGAGGTTATCTCACAAAATAAGCAAGAGACGTCAATACAACGAGGTAGATATAGGATTCTATAGAGTAGATGACCATTTTGACTCGGTTATCATTGTCCATCAACATTCATGACTAATATGTCACGATTATTACAWTCTAAGAAGCTGCATTTTAATTCTTGATATATGAGAATTAGTCATCGAGTTACTGAAACATTACTCGACAGAATCTTCCTATTGCAGCAAACCCAGTTCTTAGAAAATTAGATTATTAACGAAAAAAGAAAACTCCACAAGATTCAACCATTGAATCAAGCCCCAAAAAAAATGTGTCCGGTAGAACCAACAAATAAGAATGCGTATTCCTAATATTGTTAAAATTAATTAGTTCCTAATGAGTATCAATTAGTACCACATAAGTATCAATTAGTTCTACGGGAATCTAATTGGATGTTCTTGATTTTTTTACAATACATTTTTTAAAAATTTAACAATAAAATAGTTACATTGAGTTAAAAAATATCGGAATTGACAGGTTCCAGGTACTAATGATATTTATTGAAACATCAGAATTGAGGTATGTGTTTAAATTTATTGAAATTTGAAATTTAAGACGAGATTTAAGATTGAAAATTTATTAAATATATTTTTTTTTACAAACTAAAATATCCGACAATCTAATTTTAACAATATTTTTATTATTTATTATTTAATCTAAACTATATTTTCAATATAATCTCTACAAGGTGTCCTAAAAACAGGTTGTGTCCAACAAAATCCCTTGAATATTGGAGGTTGCTAACAAACGGTCAATTATTTAACCTCATTTATTTAAACAACATTCAAAATCGATCGATGAATACCCTTGTTGGATAAGCAAGAGTGAGAAGAGGGATGCCAAAGATTGTGTACGCCGAAGAGGGATGCCGAAAGCTTGAGGCACACAAGGCTTGAGGGGCTTGAGACTTGATTGAATCAAATTTTATTTGATTTTAGGAAGGAAGAGTTAGGGCAAGTGCGGGAAGAAGAAGTTAAAGGCAAAAGTGGGAATGAGTCATTTGAGTTGTCTTTCCTTTCATAATGGATCCTAATATGGTATTAATCTTCAACTGCTCCATCTATAATTTTAAAAACAGTACTTTACAGCTTCAATATTTATTTTTCTACTTTTTAAATTTGATTTTACGTTTTTTTTTAGTCTATTTTACACTTTGATTCAATCTTTTTTTTTATATCAAAGTATTCAATAGATTATCTTACAAATTTGGAAATTTTGAAATCTATATGTTATTTAATTGAACTCTATAATTTCTATTCACTATCTTCTTTCCTACAATTTAGGTGTACTACAGATTTATTGAATGGTAGTTTCGTCATGAATTTATAGGGGAAATGGTAGGTAAATTTACCTATTTTGATGGGAGGGTAAATTTGTCTACATAAAATCACGTAGTTAAGCTCTAACTGTTCTTTAGCTATTTTTATGATATCTGATTATTTTGGCCATTTTTCAAATCAAACTATTTAATTTAGCTATTCCTGAGTTGCCCCAAATTAAAATGGTGAAATTTTAAAAAGTCTATATAAAAATTTTAGATATGACAAAAATGATTGTTTCTGAAATCGGCGATCGACATTCTTACTTGAAAAATATCGACCGTTACAAAATATACTTCTTAAAGTTTTTTTTGTTTCCAAAGAAGATATACTTCTTAAAGTTGATATGCTTAGTATTATATTATAGAGGAACAATTGTAAATATGTCAAAAATATTTACTAAAATAAGTAAAATAGCAACCGCATCTAGTCTTTTCAAATATTTACTATTTTTTCATATGAAAACAAGGGTGAAAGAAAAATTGAAATATTAAGTTATTGTATAAAAGGTTTATATGGATCATGTACATAAAAAAAAAAAGTTAAAAAATATGATATACTTTATAAATTTAAACCGCCGATATCCCTATATTTAGTATCTCATTAGTTAATATAGAATAAATGGTAGTGATATAGTAATCAACATTTTTAATAATATTAGTATATTAATCAACAAATTGAAATATTAAACTAGAATTTATAACAGTCGATATATACCACTTAAAATTAAACATTTGATATACCTTATATTTAGTATATCAATTGCAAATTTATTTAGTATATCATAAATTAGAAGTACATCAATTATATATATTAGAGGTATAATACATGTATCTGATATACATTTGATGTATATCATATATCATAATGGTAAAATTGGAATAATAAAAAATTCGAAAATACAAATTTAAATATTTTGCTATATTTGAAATTTTGAAAAGTTAGTGCCATTTTTTTGAGATGCATAAATTATTTTTGCTACCCATCACAATTACCCTATTATTTATTTTAATATTGAAGGGATATATGAGAGGCATGGGAGGTTGGAAGTGAATGCAAAGTGTCTTTTTTTTATTTTATTTTAAGTTAAGAGTGTATTGACGATCTAATTATAAGAAGATCTCATTTAATAATCCATTTCGTTTTTAATTTTTTTTTAAATGATGTTTGTTTGCTTACAATTTCCTTTGTATATTATACCTTTTCTTAAAAATATATTTGCAGTTTTAGTCAAATTCTAAAGGCAAGTTTTTGAAAACCAATTTTTTAATTTTCAAAATTTGATTATATTTTGAGAACGTTTTTAAAAAGTAGGCAGCAAAATAAAAAATACATTGATGAAAGTAGTTTTAACAATATTAATTTAAAAAAATTAAAAATTAAAAACAAAATAGTTATTAATCGAAGCGAATTATATTTCGTCTTTCCAATATTTTTAAATATGTGTTGATTTTGGAAAATGAATCTCAATTTAAAAATT